ACTTAAAATATTATTAAAATTTATTTTATTTTATTAGCTTATTTATAACCAATTAACTAAATTCCCAATAGAAAAATAGCTAATAATTAATTTGCAATTAAAAATTGATAATTATCTAGTAATTGTTGAATTTTTATCAATATATTTTTAAATATACAGTACAGTACATTTGCATAAATTCTTAAAGACTTCAATTTGATCTATACCGTATAATCAATATATTATAATTTATTTTATAACAATATTTCAATATTAATTTATACTTCGGAAATTATGTTTACAGACTACAAATACATTAATACATTATCACATTCTACATTTTAATATAAATCAAATCAATATAATTATTATAATATTTTTTCTTATATTCTGAAATTAATTTAAATAAGTGTGTAAATATTGATCAATAAATATTATAACATCTAAGAATAAATTAAATTTCATTTTTTGTTATTCTTTCCAAGAATTAAAACTGTTAATGTTGCACAAATTCGCTACAATTTAATATTATAATATTAAAGCATTTATCAATTATCTTTATGTTATATATTAAATAATTCTAAATTTTAATTATTTGAAATTATATTTAAATTTAATATATTCAACATGTTTGCCAAGTGGTCAACAAAAGTGAAACCAATTCAAGCAGAAACTGAATCGTGTTTAAGAAAATGGTTTTTAAATCTACACATTATGAACAGAATTTATGAAATAAAACATACATTAAGTGCTAAATTTATATTTACTTTCGTTTGCTTTGCGATTCTTTTCTACCAAACTATTGACATAATTACAGATTATCTCAATTATGACACAATTGTTATCATCAAAACCGGTGGACAGGACAGAGCGATGAAATTTCCGAGTATTAGTATTTGTGAAAAATTTCCAAAACTAGAAATGGATTACACGCCTAAGATTAGGTGGAGAATTCCCATACAAATGGTACTGACAACTGATTTGGATAAAATGTCTTCAGTTGAAAATTACATCAAATTAAACGAAAGTCAAACTAAAAGATTGTTTATTGATGAACGATTTGAAAGTTATCGGACAAAACCGCCAAAATATAAGCAATTCTTTCGCAATATATCCAAAGATAGCATCCGATGTATGCTTCAAAACGAAAGTCAATGTTTTTCAAACTTTGATTCAATGAGTTATATCTCTCAATGCCGGACATGGTTCAGCCAGATCGATTCCAGTGGTTCAATAAGACAGAGATTTGAGCGAATTATTCGTGCTGAAGATTTAGAAGACGCCCGCAGCTTGATCTCTACTTTCGCTATAAATATCACACAAATTAATATCGGCAAAGACAGGATTCCCGAGAAAAGTTTGTTCTTGGTTGTCCATGATTCCCGGTCAACCCCTAATCCTTGGGCAATCACATACTATTCCCGCCGGTTTGTAGTCAAACCAAACACTACTTATGATTTACTATTTAGCAGGAAGATCATCCAAAAGTTACCCACACCTTATAACACCCATTGTTATCATTATGAACGCGAATTAGGCTCTAATGATATATACAGTATATCCCGAGAAATGTGTATAATTCAATGCAAGAATGATATGGTTTTCGATAGATTTGAGTGTATAAAGAGTGGGGCGGAAGTGATTAAAGGACTCAAATATTCTGACCAACATTTCTGTAACATTTCGGTCAATATGGGAAAACAGATCCATAATTATGAAAATCATTGTGACAAAATATGTCACTCGTTATGTAAAGTGGACTGTAATCAAGAGATCTATGATTTTGAATTAGTAGAAGTGATTGAAAATGACTACTTATATGCCTATAACCTAAGTGACGAAAATCCAGACATCAGTTTTGTAACAGTAATGGCCAAAGAGTGGGATGAAATCACTTATGAATATCTGCCCAAAACCAAACTCGTAGACTTCTTGTGCGCCATCGGAGGCCTCGTGAGCCTATGGCTCGGACTCTCGATGATCTCTGTTTACGACTTTATAATACTAATCTCACAGACGATTCATACAAAAATCGCAATTTATTTCAATCATTAAATACTTGATTATTGATATGATTTTTGAAGAGATTTTCAATTACAGAAATTAAGTAAATATAACAACTTATATATTAATAATACGATAATTATTATAAAATTATGAACAAAATATATGTTTACAAATTATAAAAACATATAAATTAACGAAAAAGACAATCATTTCCGAAGACTTATTCTGTGCTCTTATATCGCGATTAAAATTATATAAAACATCAAAAAATAAATTCAAATCATAATTAAATATACGGTCAGAAAGAATGGAAAATCCAAATCCATGTCCAATCCATAAGCAAACAATAGTCTCATTGATTTGATCCCAAGAGGTCCAGCGGTGGCTTCAGTAGTGTCTCTCTATAGGACTTCGTGTAACTCCTCTGCCATTTGGCCAAATAGAAGAAGACAATGGCGACGATCCCGATGACCATCAGCTTCAGTATGGGATGCCTGACCACCGGTGAGGCATAATTGGAGACATAGTCCCACGTGATGAGCGCCATACCGGCCACCAGACCGATGGCGGCGCCCACCCACGGGATCTGATAGTCATAAGCTCTCTGTTTCTGCAGATTATTCAGTGACCTCTTAATGGCGTTATTAATGATGTCTTCGTTTTTGTCGAAATGATTGGTGTTTTGTTCGCTGAGGAAGTGAAGCGCCAAATGGTATGACTTGAGGGCCTCCTCGTAGAGCCCGCACTCGTACAGCACTTCCGCGCGTCTGAAGTACCCCTTAAACCAATTGGTGTCCAAATCGATGGTCTGTTTGGCGTCTTCGATGGCGTAATAGTATTGTTGGAGACGAAGGAAAGCCAGGCTTCGGTTGCAGAAGAGTTTCGCGGATCTGTTGTCCTCTTTGATGGCGTGGGTGTAGTGCAGCAGCGCTTCCGCGTACTTCTTGTCGCCCACACATGCGTTGCCTCGAAGTCGCAGGTCTTCGGCCTTCTTTGCACTCATTGTCACCAAATATGTTTACCACCAATGGATACACAAACCTCTTATGCATTCACCACATGTTCACGATTGTCATTCATTTGACATTAGATTTGTCTACAAAATGTTATTATCAATTGTATTGTCGTGTTATTCATTGCTAAATCATTTGTACCCTTTTTATTTAATGTTTTACTGTCATTCTTTATCGGTTTGTCTATATAAAAAGGGTTTTTTTGTATAAATATTACCGTATTACAGAATTTGGATTTATCACGAAAGGAAAATGAATGAAATGTATGATAGATTGCCATTAGTTAACTTGACCTGCTTATTTTATTCATTAATCAATGTTTTTATTTAATTAGAAATATACTAAATTAAATAAACATTAAGTGATTTGTCACTTAAAATAAATACATTGATTAGAAATTAAGTGTAAAATAAATAAATAAATAGAAAGTGAGACCAGAATTAAATTGAAACACTTCTCACACTTGATTAAAAAAGTGAGCTTTATAATAACTATCAATTCATTTAAGTATACTGTATGATAAATACATTAATAAATATTCTGTCAATAAAAATATTTAAAGTACAAATTGATCGCTACATTTACTAAACTCATAATAGACTCACTACAAACTCTTTAATACTTTTAATAAATTATTAAACAAAGGCTTTACCGAGAAAAACATTTGTAAATGCAAAAATAAAAATCTTTTATACGTAAATATAGACAATAATTAATGACTGCTCTCAAAATGTGTTTAATTTTAACATATTTTTCATATTGTTCACAATTAAAAAAGTTTTTCACAAAACTGTTTGTGCACTTTCTATCCTAGAAATATTTATTGGTACAGATCTATATACAGAATTTGTAATGATTTAATAAATTGTTTGAAAACTTTCCGATTCTTTTGGTTTATAAACAAAATACTTTTATACAAAACAAATGGCACATAAATTGCGAGTTTTATTTGGTGTTTATTTACCCAAACAAATAACTTTTAATAAGTTGTTTGAAGTGAATAACAAGAAATAATTTGTTTGATGTGTTAATAGTTTTACACTGATTCTCGTGTCGAGTTCACTGTTTTTCCTTTGATAACAACGAGTATGTAATATATTTTTTACAATTATTTGTTTAATTAAATTATAGAGTAATATAAATGATACTTAATCTTTATTAGTCTGTAGTTCTCAAATTAACATTATTCTATTATCACCTATAATTTATCAGTAATAATAAATACTAGGAATATACATACAATATAATATATAAAATATGATAAAAGAACTTTTGTATTGACACTGATTTTAATTGGAGTTTGAGTTTAAGTTAAGCCTAGAGTTCAAGAACTTCTGGATTTGACAAATATTTTAGTTTAATCCTATCCGTAAGCTTAATAACTGATACATTGTAATTTTTATTTTAACTTTTGTTGAATTCGTGAATCATCAAATAAAATACATCTGCAGTAAACTTATAATCAAATTTTATGGATTAGCCATGATAATAATAATAATAATAATGGCATGATTTATAATGCATATGAATTGAAGTGCACTGACAATTGCCGCAATATTCTTGAATACAAAATATCTTTAGATTGTATATTTATTATTTCAAAAGTTTTAGTCAATTGTGATTAATTAATAGTTGGCATCTGTTTTGCTATTATTTTTCAGTTTGAAAAACTTTTAACTCAGAAATATGTCCGTCAATAAAGACAAACATACCGTCGGTTTCTCTGAGAGCAAAGAAGAGATGAGCGAAAGCGACGATTTGATCTCAAATAAGAAACCAATATTTCGGAGTCTCGTCACTCGTCTTCAGATCGCCTCCCGATTGGCTCGAAGTCAGAGGAATAGCTTGGAAGAGGAGAACGATGTGGTGGCCGACCAGCAGGAGATCAAACACTTCGGTCGTAAGACAGGTTCGGTCATCACGAAGAAGGCGAACCGACCGCGAGGTCTCACATTAAGACAGTTCAGTCGATTGAGTTCCGGAAGTAATCCCAAGGATTATCGCAAAGGTGTGTCCATATTATCTGATGGCAGTGTCAATGAAGATGATGAATACGAAAATGGGATTATTTCCGACGGAACCATACATTTTTGGCAACAGTTTTGTTTCGATGAGGTTTTCATTGTCTTATATTATTTATTATATCAAAAGTTATAATGTGTTTGAATGATAGGGACATCCCTTTCTTCGGGTCACTACTAAAGTGGACATTGAATTTGTAGCCAAAGTTATGCATAAGTGTTGGGACTTAAATGTACCAAAAATTGTTACGTTTATCCTTTCAAACAAATCTCATTCCACTAATTGGACAAATGAAAGGCAAATCAAAAACTTTCAAAAAGGATTAATTGATGTATACATTAATTTATTTATTATACTGCTTTGTATAATAACTGTACATAATTTTAGTTTTGTTTAATTTTTATGAAATAGGCTGCAATTTCGACAAATATGTGGATTTTCACAAATGCAATCAACAGCGGTGTGGCAAATCTGATTGGAAATGCCATCAAAAATGAAACAAATAAAATGCAAATCAAAAGAACTCTAAAGAACCCAAACTTAACTAATTTAATAGGAGTTGTATCTGAAAATGATTTAAGATATGGAGAACTAATAGCTATGAATACTAAGGTAATTAAAATATTCTTCAGATTATATTGAGATAAATATTTTGCTTATTTAGGAGCACTTAAACATCGAAAACGATGGCATTTCATATGGAGATAAATATGAGTTGAATTCAAATCACACCCATTTTATAATGATTAAAGACAAATACAATGACAGTCATTGTGCGGACGCTTTCATTATGAAATTTATACAACTCTTGACCCGACAATCAGTTAACAAACCGTCAGAAATAGGTCTGAATTTAAAGTTAAAATGACTTAATAAAGATAACTTAAAAGACTCGTCTCTTATGAACAGAGCCGTCCACTCCAGACTCATTGGACACACAAATAAGTATAGAGTCAACAGAAGTACCGGTGGTTTCAATGGTGATTGAAGGCGACTATCAAACGGCTAAACTAGTGGTCGATCTCATCAAAGCTCACGTTCCAGTTGTGATACTTCGGGGGACGGGAGGCATAGCAGACATCATAGCATATGCTTATCTCGAGATTATGCACCGATGTCCCAACTCATGGGACTTGGAGTTTGTGGACCAATATCTCAAACCAATGCTCACTAAAAAGATTATCCAATACTTCAGTGATTTGAAAGACAATACATTAACGAGAAATCTATTGAGAGATCGGATCATAGAATGCGTTCGACTCCATAGGACCGAAGACCGCATATATCTATCGGTTATAAACCTCCACAACAGCTCCTCTTGTAATCTCCAAAACCTAAGACAACACTTATTGTCAGCTTTACTTAAATCTCGGCATTCAAATGATATGATTTCAAACGAGAATTTCCTTAAGAATTTAGAGTTAACACTGGACTGGAACTGTCCCGATGTGGCCAAGAATGTGATATTTGCCAAAAATGCCAAAAGTATCATCAACTTAGACAAGAATTTGTTTGAGTCGGCACTCATTCACCCAAATCGCGAAGATTTTATTGAACTATTTCTCTCACTTGGCTTTCAATTACACAAATTTGTGTCGCCCTCCAGACTCAACCGACTCTTTCGACTTATTCACGACAACGATTTCTTCAGAACCCACTGTTGGGAAAGCATTTTGGGCCGACCCTCGTGTCTCAAACAACCCAAATATTTCATTGACAACGACCTAAACTGGTTGATCGAGATTATCACCGGTTTTCAAAACTTTGTCAATACAGAGCACCTCCATCTCAACGTGATGGGTAAGTAACCATTTTTTATCAATTTGAAGTAATACAAATAAAATTAAATCCTTATTTCAACTATCCTGGTACTTTTCTTTTTTATAACAATCATTCTGCCGTAGATTTAAACCTCTGTAATTATTCCTATATTTATTATTATATTAGTACATCTGACTATTTATTTAAGTAGTTACCGAAATGCATTTAATTTTATCTTAATAATCTAGGTCTATACCAAAGTAACGCTTTGTCGGCGGAAAGAAAGGCACTGAATATACTGACAATTTGGGCGGTTATGCATAACAGGGATCAGTTGGCCAAAGTATTCTGGAAGCACTCGGACCAACCCGTCCACTTGGCTCTCGTCATATCCATGATGTTTGACCGGCTGTCCTGGTATGCCATCGACAACAACATGAAGTCAGATCTGAAACAAAAATCCAAAGTATTCGCCGACTTTGCGAACGGAGTCCTCGATATCTGCTATAACGAGGATATCTTTCGGGCCAATAATGTACTCAATCAGTCCATACAGGACTGGAATTACAAGACTGCCGTTGATATCGCAGCCAACGCTCAGTTGAGACAATTCTTGGCTCATCCCTGTTGTCAGAAGTTCTTGACCAACACATTCCTCGGCAATATTAGGCTCCGGGAGATAAATTGGGGTATGTTTCCGATCCCAGCCGCCATTAAAATACTTTTGTGTGCATTCCTCGTGTTTCCGCTCTTCATTTGGGTTCGCTTTAAGAGTAATGAAATTGAAATACAAGATAATGTGACCACTGATGACGAGTTCGAAGACGGTTACGATGATATTTATCGAGAAGATAACACAGAATCCTCTGTGATTACCGATGACACGACTGATCAGGTGAAGGTCGGGTATATGAACCCAACATTGGCTAAGTCAGTGGCCAACAGTTACGATAATATCATAAATCAGAGTAAAAATCGTTTCAATAACTCAATCCGCGGTCATATGTTTGTGGCCAGACCTCCGCCATTGCATCAGATGCTGGCTATGTTTTTCTCGGCGCCGATCACCAAGTTTTATGTCTCACAGTTCTTCTATTTCCTATATCTGCCGCTATTATCACTATCAGTCATATATCCGGGATGTGGTCTTTGGAAACTGGATCTATTAGTATGCATTTGGACGACAGTCTTATGCATGGATTACATTCGCCGCACTTATATTATCATCAAGAAGTATACAGCGGTTCCAGTATTTCTCAAATGTATTGAAATAACGTCAATAATTGTGTTCATAATATTGTTTTCAATCACTCGAGTCTTTGGCATACCTGTGATCTCTCCGTACAAACAGAAACTCACTCTTTCTGTTGGAGTACTTTATTTCTATTACAGACTAATTGGCATTTATTTGCCGATATCTCCCACATTAGGGCCGTTATTGCATCGATTAAAACTGATGATAACCGTAGACTTTGTGAACTACATGCGAATGGCTCTTCTGGTCATCTTAAGCAATATGGTTGTCATGCAAGCGGTTCTCTATCCCGACACTGAACTGTCACTCGAGATGTTCCACAAAGCCTTTCACAGAGCATTCTTTGCCCTATTTTTGACACCAGTCACTGAACTCGAGAGTATGTCTCATAATATAATGAATACATTATTTATTATTGAATCATATTTTTCTCTAATTAATCTAGGTAATGAATATTGTGAGCAAAACAAAACAGTTTACACGGATTACGAAGACCAGTGTGTAGTGACCGGCAAATATAGCAGTACATCCTGTGCCAACACTGGTGTCTGGGCCTATGCTTTTGTTATTCAATATTTAGTTTTCTTAAAACTAATTTTGTCGACACTATTGGCCGCTATATTCACGGCCACGGCCTCCAAATTATCGACCGAAACGGACAATATCTGGAAATTTCAGCGCTATTTGTTGGTCATTGACTTTGAAAACAGACTCCCATTACCGGCACCGCTCAGTATCTTTTGCTATATTTATTTCATTTATCGTTATTTTCAAAATTTATTTTGTAATATGAGTCAATGTTGTGCGCCTAAAACGGTAACATTTAAACCTTCAATACTTTAAAAATATTTTTAATCTCAATTATGTTGTTAACAGAATAGTAAAGTCATAATAAGTAACACAAATGAATTGCACGACAAGAATAAGTTGACGCCTGAAGAGTGTATTTATTGGCAACAATTGGCCACCGATTACATCGAAGCCCTTAACGTAAAGGCCGCCAAAGAGTTGATACCAATGAAAGAGTGGGAATACATTCAACTGATCAGCGAAGACATGGAGTACGAGAAGAAGATATTGAGAGAAATCAAAGGGAAAGTCATGGGTTTGGAGAGAATTATAATGAAAGGCAAACTCTCAAACGACAAGTATATGACTCAAGAATCGCATAAAACACGTCTTTCCCATTACTCTCCATATCCGGGAACTCAGATAATCCGAGTCCCCTTCTCAGAGAAGTACATTCCGTGGGAAGCATTATATATCGACTACGAGCCCATCGCTTATAGTAAACCTGTGGATGAATTTTCGCCTAAAATGCAACCCTTTGTCGACGAAGACATGATTCTTCTAAAGGAAATGAAAACAAGAAAAACTGGAGTTAAAGTGAAATTTCCGGAATACGAGTGGAATTCACAGCAAATGTTACCAAACGGACGGGCAGTGAATCGCATGTCGTGGCAAATCAATGGCGACGGATCCTCTTTTTACTATAAACTCGAAGACAATTTCCTGCCTCGAAATCCATTCGGTCGGACGGGTCTCAGAGGGCGCGGAGGGTTTCCTCGTTGGGGACCAAATCATTACATAATACTTGTGATTACGAGATGGCAGAAGAGCTCATCCTCTCAGATGTCGGATAACAGATATCTTGAAATAGTCATTGAAGATGGTTTTAATTCTGATCCCAATTGTTTGCCTGAAGTAAGTCAATAGGTGTTTATTGTTTTGGAAATTATTTCTAACATATGTTATAAACATTTAGCGTTTTGTGAGCGGAGACGACTTGTTTGGAGGAATACAGGAATTGTTTAAAATGGATGACCGGACTCATTGGGTTTTGCCACAAGTGGTCAACTTTTTCCGAAGTATGTGCTCGTCGTCCGCAGACAATGGATTTGAGTTTAAGCTAATCCAAAACGGATATATCGATGACCACATGAATACAGACAACGCGTGGAAAGAGGCTAAGGTTTGGCACATCCATTACGAGTGTCGGGAATACCTTAAGAAGCATTTTATGGACAAAAAGCTAAGCTGGAGATTACTTTCAGATAATTTATTTTCTAAAATGCCTTTAAGCCAAAGTGAAATCATTAAGTCAGTGGTCGAGACATTGGGAGCAGAGATTGTGTAATCTATCTTATAAAATACTTGTAATTAATTTTTATTTAAACATTTATTTATAATTTTGTTTGCATTTTATTAATCAATTTTAATCAATCACTTAATTATATTTGTAATAATGTTAATAAAACGATGAATTATTTCATAATTTCTTCACAAAGAAAGCCAAAGCATTGATCCCAAAGAATAATAGCCACAGAATAGTCATAATAAATCCAATGAGAACGTGAGAGTGACTTAGACCCCAACCCCTCAATAATATATTTCTTAGCGATTCGATGGCCAGAGTAGAGGGTAATAGTTGACTGACATACCTGATCCCAGTTGGCATACTTTCCAACGGCCAGAATATTCCGCCCATCATTACAGTCGGGAAAAAAGCGCCGATGCATAGGGTAGTGGCGTATATCTCGTCCGGACAGATCGCCGATATCATGAGACCAAACATGAGGCCACACAAGCCCTGGAGGAATGTGATGGCCGACGCAGATATGATGGATCCGTTGGTCGGTATTGTGTATACAATGAATACGAGGATGAGTTTGAGGCCCACTTGAAGTGAAAGTATAAACAGCTGTAAAATAACGTGCGAAAAGACAAACTCTAATGGTTTCACTCCCGCCACCAAATTGCGGTCAACTAAACCATCGGTTCTCTCTTTAATGAGTAGATGACTGGTCACTGTTGTTGTGCCGAAATAGGCCACTACTAGCAGAGCACCCGGTGCTACAAACGAGTTGAATGAGGGATTCTGTGAGCCATAAACGGGCGGACCTTTATTCACAAGTGGTTTCATTGCAGTCATATTTGTTTGATATTTTTTGCCTAAATTTTCCATAAACTTGTGATAGGTTTCCGATATATAACCGTAGACTTGTGAACCGATCACTTGATTAGACATATCTATTCGGAGTTGAATTGTACTCAAGTTTACAATAGTTTCGTCTTCGGAGCAAAAATACAATCTATAGGACAGTGAGTCACTGTATTGCTTGTTGAAATAAATAACTGCCCAGGCATCATTTACTTCGACCGCATTTATAGCCGAATCCAAAGTGTTGTATCGAATCAGAGAAATATGGTTTTCATCGATTGATTTCAAAAATAATTCACTCAAATCAGTGTCCTTTTCCGGGTTATAGACGGCGACTGGGATTTTCTGGACATCCTGTCCCACACACTCCATGATCAGTATGATCTCAATCGATGGCAATAACACGAAAAACATAAGTAATGCAAAACTTCGTGATATTTGTTTGAAGTTTTTAAGTGTGAGAGCGAGTAAGCGGTAGAAAGAGTTTGTGTCACTTATCTGACTCTCGTGTCTCAATTGAATCAAACCGTTTGCAATACTCTTCGTTCGCGACATTTTGTAAGCCATTTGACAGCTATTCAGCTCAATCTCTGACTCCACCATCACATCAATTGATTCATCGGATTCATCTTTAATGAAACCATTATTTACAAAACCAATACCGGTGCGAACCTTGATTAGTTTAGCTTCACTCTTATTACCGGTATCTTTCATTTCTGTCATTAAAATTTCTGATTTACTTGATTTGAAATCAATTTTCTCTTCATTATCCATATCAAATGTTTTATCCGACTTCCGGTTATCTTGTAATTGAGATAATTTAAGAAACACCGCCTCTAATGTTGTGAATCCATAGTGTCTTAATAGTCCTTCGGGTGAGTCCTCAGCCAATAGTCTACCGGAGCGCATGAAACCAACCGTCTGTGCACTTCTGGCCTCCTCTATGTAATGTGTGGTCACAATAACAGTCAATCCATTTTGACACAAAAACTCCAAATGTTTCCAAATGGCCTCTCGAAGGATCAAATCTAAACCCACAGTCGGCTCGTCTAGTATTAGGAGCGGAGGGTTGTGTAGAAGAGCTATAAAATAGGTTTGGGTTTAATTGTGGTAAAACTAAACTACATTTAAATTAATTGATTACCGGTTGCAATGGATACTCTCCTTTTTTGTCCGCCACTTAATTTAGTAATCATTCTGTTTTTGTCGGGCAATTGAAGCAAATCCACCAAAAACTCTATCCTCGAGTCAACCACTTTTGATTGTATACCAAATAGTCGACCAAAATATTTGAGTATCTCTTCGATAGTGAACTCCTCATAGAGTGCCAGTTCTTGAGGCATATACCCCACACCAGGTCCAGGTACTTTGCTATCAGGTGAGCCGGGTGTTTTGCCAAATAGACAAATTGATCCCCTGGTGGGCTCCAGGCGTCCCAACGCACACTTCAATAGAGTTGTTTTGCCGCAACCGGAAGAGCCTAACAACCCATAGATTCCTCCTAAGAGTATTGAATCAATTGATTTAATGATTGACATATTAATTATGTTAATAAATTTGAATTAATTCATACCCTTAGGAACCGTAACATTGATTCCGTTTAGAATGGATATTCCATTTTTATAACTAAAATATACCCTGCTTATTTCTAAAGCATTTATTTTAATAGTCATTGTTAAACAATTTCACATTAAAATGAGTTCTATACAGTATAACTTTTTAAGAACACAATTGAATACAGAATTTATTAGAGAAAACAAATCATCAATTTTTAGTAATGAATGTGAAAGTTAGAAATAGTTAATTACAACCAAAATGCATTGTTATTAAATAAACATTTGGCATATGTTCAAATAAAATGTTAATGAGACTAAATCATTTGATGGTAAAAGTTTCCACTATTATATCCATTTTACTATAATATGATTGTAAGGACACTCCATTGACAATCACTAGAAGAGTTGGTCTAACTTTATTAACTATTGATAGTTTAACAACAAAAACAACACAAAAAGAGTTTAAATTCTTTAATGAATTAAAAATGAGTACAAATTATAGTCTCCTCTTAAAGAAAATTATTGCATTTAACAGGAAGAATATAAGCCATAATATAGTGATCGTAAAGCCAATGACCACTTGATTCTTCTCGAGACCCCAACCCCGCAGCAAAATACACCTCAAAGTCTCGATGGCCAGCGTTGACGGAAGGGTTTGACTGATATATCTGAGTGCTGTCGGCATACTCTCCAACGGCCAGAATATTCCTCCGATCATAACACTGGGAAAGAAGGCACCGATACCTGCAACGGGACTACAGTTAGACATACAGTTAAATTCAATGATTGTATTTGTAACCTAAAGTATTGGCGTATATCTCGTCGTGACAGACGGCAGATATCATGAGACCAAACATTAGTCCACAAAGACCCTGAAGGAAGACCAAAATGACTGCAGATATGATGGAACCACTGTTGGGTATAACGAACACCAGAAATGCGACCATCAGTTTAAGGCCCACCTGTAGGACCAACAGAAGTGTCTGTAATATAATGTGCGATAAAACAAATTCAAACGGTGTGACGCCCGCCACAAGACTTCTCTCCACTAAACCATCGCTTCTCTCTTTAATTAGCAGATGACATGTCATAACAGTTGTGGCAAAGTATGCCACCATTATTAGAGCTCCCGGTGCTATAAATGAAATCAACGATTGCTTTGGTATGCCATATATCGGAGGATCAATAATGATGGGCGGTTTCAATGCCTCTGGATTTATGCCATAGGTTTGGGCCAGAACTGACACAAATTTTAAAAATGCTTCAAAAATTTGTCGCTGTATTTGAAAGCCAATCACTTGGTTAGACATATCCAACTGAAGTCGTATTGAACTCGAGTTTATGATATCTGCGTCCGAATCGGTGGACAGTATTGACCGCATTCTCAGCGCTTCCGAGAAGTTTGTCTGAAAGTGAATGACAGCCCAAACGTCGTTTTCTTTGACGGCATCTATGGCTGACTTTAATGTCTTATAGCGGACTAAAGTGATGTGTTTCTCGTCGATTGAATCCAAGAATAATTCACTTAAAGACGAGGCTTTGTCTAACTGTTCCGGATTGTAGACCGAAACAGGAATGTGTTTAATGTCTTGTCCTATACTCATGATTAGTAAACATATTTCAATAGATGGCAATAACACGAAGAATGCCAACAATATATAATTTCGTGACATTTGTTTGAAGTTCTTAAGAGTCAAAGCGGATAATCGATTGACAAATTTGGTTTCATTGGCTATACTAGGTTGTTTTACTTGAATCACACCATTAGACAGATTATATTCTTTAGGTAGTGTTCCGTTTGTATCGAGAGATAGAGACGAGTCTTCAATATAACCATTGTTTACAAAGCCTTCCTTTGGATCAGTTATTTGAGAAACACTTTGATTTGAATTAATAACTTTCAAACATATCTGTGATTTGTCTTCCGAAGCATTACTTATATTTGTTTCTATGATTTCATTGGGAATTGATTTTCTATTATAAGTCAACATATGGTGCACTTTAGTTTGATCGTCTAATTGCGATAATTTGAGAAACACTTCCTCTAAAGTCATCAATTGATGTCGTCTTAGGAGATGATGGGGTGAGTCTTCAGCCAGTATTCTTCCGGATCGCATGAACCCAACTTTGGCCGCATTTCTAGCTTCTTCGATGTAATGAGTCGTTAAAATGACAGTCAATCCGGTTTTGCAGAGATTCTCCAAATGTTTCCAAATGGTCTCCCGAAGAATCAGATCAACGCCTACTGTCGGCTCATCTAATATTAGAAGAGGAGGATTGTGGAGGAGAGCTACAAATATAGCCACAAATTAAGTTTAATAAATATTTTTACTCAATTATTTGAAAATATAAAACATGTAT